GGTGCTTGCAGTGAGCTGAGATCCGGGGCCACTTGGCACTCCGACCTGGCGACAGACGCCAGAGACTCACTCTCAAAAAAAAAAAAAAAAAAAAAAAAAAAAACAGAGTGAAAGGTTTAAATTGCTGTGTCTAAGATCCAAATGGCCGTCTAGTAACTGTTGGAATGGAATGTCACTTGTCCTTCTGGTCTTCAGCATTTTTGGCTGTCTGCATCACATCCTGCTAAAATTTTTTTCCTTTCCTTTTTTTTTTTTTTCTTGTTCTTTTACAAGAGATACGGGTCCTGCTCATGTTTGCCTTAGCTAGGACTGCAGTGGCTTGAATCCTATAGCTCACCTGATAGCGCTTGAACTCCTGGGGTCAAAGTGGACCTCTTGCCCTCAACTCCTAGTAGTTAGGATTGTAGGCCTCGTTCCCACCGCATTGCCTGGCTATCTTTTAATTTTTTTGTGAAATGGGGTCTCACTGTGGTTGCCACTTGGTTCCCTGAACTCCTGGCTCAAGCGATCCTCCCCACCTCAGCTCAGAGTTCAGCTGGGATTATAGGGCGTGAGCTCGCCATGCCCAACCCCAGGTTTTTGTTATAATATGGATATATAGATGTGTCTTAGGGCCCTTGTTGGCTTTCCTGTGCTGTGACCGGTTAACAGCCAACTAAAAATGGAACTTGTTTTCTCCGTGGGAAATGCAATTGTAGGTTAATATTTATTGTTTCTTACTATTTGGCATGCCACTGTTCTTAGCTCCTGTGTTTATTACTTCATCTAGTCCTCATAGCAACTCTCAGAAAACTGGGAGATTGAGTTAGAATCATAATGTTGTGGGCTGGGAGGATGAACAAGATGAGCGGGATTTGGTGGGTCCAGATATCTCAGCCCCAGCAGAGATGGCCCTCTTGCAGTCTAGGCAGTATTTTGCCCTTCCACCATTCATGGACTGTGACCTGGTCCAGCTGGCCCTGAATGAATGTTTGCTTTCTCAGGCAGTATTCTCCCCCTCCTCACCAAGGCCACCTCCACACCAGCTCTAAGAAGCTCCCCCCAGGCCCAGGCCTCAGGGGACCCCTGCCCTCAGGCCGACCCTGCTGCTGCCTTTTCAGAGCCTCCCTAACCCTCCTGGAAGTGGGCTGATGAACCTCCCACCTCCACCAAGGAAGAACCAGTTTCCACTAGAGACACAGGTAAGCAGTCACTTGGGGTTTCTAGTTTTTTCTTTTTTTTTTTTTTGAGACGGTTTCTGCTGGTGTCTCCCCAGGCTGGAGTGCAGTGGATGATCTCGGCTCACTGCAAGCTCCGCCCCCGGGTTCACGCCATTCTCCCGCTCAGCCTCCAGTAGCTGAGACTACAGGCGCCCACAACCATGCCCGGCTAGTTTTTTTGTATTTTTAGTAGAGACGGGGGTTTCACCATGTTAGCCAGGATAGTCTCGATCTCCTGACCTTGTGATCCGGCCCGCCTCGGCTCCAAAGTTGCTGGGATTACAGGCTTGAGCCAACCGCGCCGGCCCTAGTTTTTCATTTGTTTGGTTGAGGCAGGGTCTCGCTGTTGCCCAGACTAGAGTGGGCAGTGGCACAATCTTGGCTCATTGCAGCCTGCCACTGCTTCCGGGTTCAGGTGATTCTCCTGTCTCAGGCTCCTGAGTAACTGGATTACAGGCGCCACCACCCACAACCCGGCTAATTTTGTATTTTTTAGTAGAGAGACGGGATTTCACATGTTGGCCAGGCTGGTCTCGAACTCCTGAGCTCAAGTGATCTGCCCATCTCAGCCTCCAATGTGCTGGGATTACAGGTGTGAGCCACTGTGCTGGCCAGGCTTCCCAGTTTCTAAGTCAAAAAACCAGGAAAGAACTGGATGGGGCTTGGATCTGCAGCACTGGAAATGAGGTCCCCGGGTTGTAGGCAGGGGAGGAGTTGGATCATCTGCTGGAAGGAGCAGGGGTGGGCATCCCATTATAATTCAGGTGGTGGGAAGGTTCTGGTTGGGAGGGGTGGCCCTGGCATTCCATGCTCTGCCTGCTCCTAGGTCGTCGAGGAAGAGGAAGACTCAAGGTGGCCCCACCCCTGAAGCGCTTCTGTGTGGACCAACCCACAGGTGCCGCAGACGGCCTCAGAAAGCTAGCACCGTCCCTGGCCCTCTGCCTCCTGGCCCTGCCCTCTATTTATTGCATTCTTGTTCTGGCCCGCGGCTGCGTTGCTGGGGTAAGGGCAAGCCACTGGGTCGAGAGCCTGCACACATGAGCCTTCCGGGCTGGAAGGCTGGCGTAGGACTTGGGGGCTGTAGCATCATCTTCCGTCCCTGGCACCTGTGTTACTTGCTCCCGAGAAGAGGAGCGGCTCATGTCTTTTTTGCACCCAAGGTGGCTGGAGCATCGGCCACCCCAAGGATTATCATCCTGTCCCAAGATTCATCTGTCACCTCCAGGCAGCAGTCTCTGCTCCAGAATCTCTGGACAGAGCTGCTGGCAGCTTCTGCGAGAAGAGAGAGATGTGGAAGGCACCCTCTAGAAGAGAGTGCCTCGGGTTACTTGAACTTGAATGGAGACTGTAGACTCCCGGACTTTCCCCTAGGACTGGGGGCCCTGTAGGCTGCTGTTGGGGAAGGACTGGGTAGAGACGTTGGAGGGAAGGGAAGGGCTTTTCTCCACACAAGGGCAGAGAGTCTGTCTAGATTTCTTGCTGTCCTGCCAGTTCTGCCCATGCCTGAGGTGGTCCTGCCTCTCACGGGCACCCTAGCTGCTGACAGTCCTTTGTGGCCGCCGTCCCCATCCCCTGCCCTCAGCACACACGTCCGCACACACAGCTTTCTTTGTTCTCACCTGTACCTGTCATTCCAACATCCCTGCCTCTTGCCACAAACTGCCCCAGCAAGAATTTGAGGTTCTGACACAGTACCCATCCCCCACAGTACCCCTTCAGCTCAGTTTCTAGAAAGCTCCCTTTTCTTTGAAATCTGCATGTTAAATTGAACTTTGTGATTTTATTTTTTGTTTCAAAAAAGTTTAAGAAAATGGAAATGGGCAACAGTGAGTGAAGACATATTTTAGCACTGAATAGAATATTTTTAAAATTAAACTATTTGAAATATGTCCTGTTGGTATCTGAGTGCTTCCTTCTTGAAGGTTGCGGAGTTCGGTGGGGGTGGTGGCTGAGTGCTTGTGGGGTCACTGTGGGCTGGGCCTGCCCATCCTTTCACTCCCACAATGTAGACTTCATGACAGTGATTTCCAGCCTCCCTTTGAAGCTGTCACGTAGTTCAAATTATGCTTCTTGCTGGGCGCAGTGGCTCATACTTCTTATCCCAGCACTGTGGAGGCCGAGGCAGGAGGATCATTTGAGGCTAGGAGTTTGAGACCAGCCTGGGCAACATAGCAAGACCCTATCTCTATCTAAACAATATTTTAAAATTAAAACATAACAACCAGGCCAGGCGTGGTGGCTCACACCTGTAATCTTAGCACTTTGGGAGGCCGAGGTGGGTGGATCACCTGAGCTCAGGAGTTCGAGACCAGCCTGACCAGCAAGGTGAGACCCTGTCTCTTCTAAAAATACAAAAATTAGCCAGGCATGGTGGCAGGCGCCTGTATTCCCAGCTCCTTGGGAGGCTGAGACAAGAATTGCTTGAACCTGGGAGGTGGAGGTTGCAGTGGGCCAAGATTGCGCCACTGTACTGCAGCCTGGGTGACAGAGCGAGTCTCCATCTCAAAAAAAACAAAACCAAATTCCATCCCTGTGTACACCAAATGCAATTCATGGATGTGTTTTCTACAGATCCAAGTAGTTCGGAGGGATTCATGAGTTCTTTGTGTTTTTTTTCCCTTGTGGTAAAATACACATAACATAAAAGGTTTTTTGTTAGTTTTTTGAGACAGTCTCGCTCTGTCACCCAGCAGGTTGGAGTGCAGTGGTGTGTTCTTGGCTCATTGCAACCTCTGCCTTCTGGGTTTAAGCGATTCTCATGCCTCAGCCTCCCAAGTAGCTGGGATTACAGACATGTGCCACCACGTCTGACTAATTTTTGTAATTTTAGTAGAGATGGGGTTTCACCATGTTGGCCAGGCTGGTTTCGAACCCCTTAGGCTCCCAAAGTGCTGGGATTACAGGTGTGAGCCAGTGCACCTGGCCAAGAGTTACTTTTGTCATCGTTGTCAAGTGTGCATTTCAGTGGTACTGAGTACTGAGTACATTCGCAGTGCTGAGCAGTCCCTACAGTGCAGCTCCAAACTTTTTCATTACCCCGAATGGAAACCTCATGTCCAGTTAGCATCGTTCACCATCTTCCCCTCCCTTTGCACCCTGGCAGCCACAGATCTGTTTATTTCCCAGAGAGATTCCCCTCATTTCTCACAGGGGCTCCAGGTGTCATGAATGAGACTATAATCCAAGTTCTACTGTTCTGTCTTATTTTATTTATTATTATTATTATTATTATTTTTTTGAGACAGTCTCTCGCTCTGTTGCCCAGGCTGGAGTGCAGTGGCCGGATCTCGGCTCACTGCAAGCTCCGCCTCCCGGGTTTACGCCATTCTCCTGCCTCAGCCTCCCGAGTAGCTGGGACTACAGGCGCCCGCCACCACGCCCGGCTAGTTTTTTGTATTTTTTAGTAGAGATGGGGTTTCACTGTATTAGCCAGGATGGTCTCGATCTCCTGACCTCGTGATCCGCCCGTCTCGGCCTCCCAAAGTGCTGGGATTACAGGCTCGAGTCACCGCGCCCAGCCTATTATTATTTTTTTGAGACAGTCTCGCTCTGTCGGCCAGGCTGGCAGTGGTGGGATCTCAGCTCACCGCAAGCTTCGCCTCCTGGGTTCACACCATTTTCCTGCCTCAGCCTCCCGAGGAGCTGGAACTACAGGTGCCTGCCACCACACACGGCTAATTTTTTGTATTTTTAGTAGAGATGGGGTTTCACTCTACTAGCCAGGATGGTCTCAATCTCCTGACCTCATGATCCCAACACTTTGGGAGGCCGTGGTGGGATTACAGTGTTGGAATTACAGGCGTGAGCCACCGCACCTGGCCCCTGTTTTATCTTTTCTCAAAAAATATAAATAGGGCTGGGTGCAGTGGCCTGTAATCCCAGCATTTTGGAAGACTAAGGCAGGAGGATTGCCTAAGCCTAGGAGTTGAGATGAGCCTGGGCAACATGGCAAGACCCTGTCTCATTAAAAAATAAAAAAATGTAGGCGGCGCCCGCAGGGTGCTCACACCTGTAATCCCCAGCACCTTTGGGAGGGCTGAAGCGGGTGGATGCATCGAGGTCAGGAAGTTTTCGAGATCAGGCCTGGACCAGCATATGGCGGGAACCTCATCTCTACTAAAAGATACAAAAAATTAGCGGGCATTCTGGTGCATTGTTCTGTAATCCCAGGCACTCGGCGAGGCGAGGCCAAGAATCACTTGAACCTGGGAGGTGGGAGGTTTGCACGTAGCCGCAATAGCACCATTGCAACTCCAGCTGGGTGGATCAGGGCGAAAACTTTGGTCTTCAAAAATAAATAAAAATAAATTAGTTGGGCATGGGGTGGGCAACCTGTGAGTCCAGCTACTGCAGGGCAGGCTGAGGCACGGAGAATGGTGTGAACCCGGGAGGCGGAGCTTGCAGTGAGCCGAGATTGTGCCACTGGACTCCAGCCTGGGCAACAGAGCAAGACTCCGTCTCAAAAAAAAAAAGTAACCAGCCAGGTACAGTGGACTCATGCTGTAATCCTAGCACTTTGGAAGATCGCTTGAGCCCAGAAGTCGAGACCAGCCCTAGCAACAATGGTGAAACCTCATCTCTAAAACAAAAAGAAAAATTAGTTGGGCATGTTGGATATGTGGCCTGTAGCACCCCTGTGGTCAGTGACTGAGGTGGGCGGATCCCTTGAGCCCAGGAGGTCAAGGCTATAGTTGAGCCTGATCAATGCCCCACTGCACTCTAGCGCTGGGCGACGGAGGGAGACCCTGTCTCAGAAAAAGAGACATATAAAATCAAATTGTCAAATGAATTTTACAGATAATGTAATTGTATGTGGGTACATAAATAATGGTTTTTTTTTTCTTCCTTTTTGTGGAGAACGGGGTCTCTCTGTATGTGCCCAGCGGGTCTCGAACTCCTGGGCTCAAGCTATCCTCCCGCTCCTGCCCTCCCTGAGAGCTGGGATTACAGGTATGAGGCCACGTGCCCCCTTTTATTTTCCTTTTCTTTCTTTTTTTTGTTTTTTAGAGACAGAGTGTTGCTCTGTCGCCCAGGCCAGAGTGCAGTGGTGTGATCTTGGCTCACTGCAACCTCTGCCTCCCAGGTTCAAGCAATTCTTCTGCCTCAGCCTCCTGAGTAGCTGGGATAACAGGCGCCTGCCACTGTGCCCAGCTAATTTTTGTATTTTTAGTAGAGATGGCGTTTCACCATCTTAGCCAGGCTGGTCTCAAACTCCCAGTCTCTTGTGATCCACCCACCTCAGCCTCCCAAAGTGCTGGGATTACAGTCGTGAGCCACTGTGCCCGACCCTTTTTTTTGTTTTTCTGTAAAGGCAAGGTCTCACTATGTTGCCCAGGCTGGACCCACCTTGGTTTCCGTTTCCCAACGTGCTGGGATTATAGGTGTGAACCACCATGCTTGGCCAACATAACTGTTTTAATTGTGTTTAAACAAAGGAAAGTATAATGGGCTGGGTGCGGTAGCTCATGCCTATAATCCCAACACTTTGGAAGGCTGAGGAGGAGGATTGCTTGAGTCCAGGAGTTTGAGACCAGCCTGGGCAACACAGGGAGACTCCATCTGTATTAATAATTTTTTTTTTTTTTTTTTTTTTTTTAAGTAGCTGAAGTGTGTGTGTGCACATCCTGGTCCCATATACTCTGAAGGCTGAAGCAGGAGGATCGCCTGAGCCCTGGAGGTCGAGGCTGCAGTGAGCCATGCACCACTGCGCTCCAGACTGGCAACAGAAAGAGTCTTGTCCTTATTAAAAAATAAAAACT